AAAAAAAAAAAAAAAAAAGGAACAAGTAACTTACGCTTCTTAGCCTGAAGGAGCCTCCTCTCCCCCAAAACAGAAGATCCAAATACTCCATCTGCAGTAGAATTAGCAAACTAGTGAGGCGAAGCTGATGAAAGACAGATGGTTGAAAATGAGTTTACAATTGCTGAGATGAGTGACAAAAACCTGAGATGAGAGCTGCAGATGAGAGAGAGACGAGGCAAACAAACGGAACCAAACAACAATTGATCCGCATGATGATAATCCCCGTCTGTAACAACACTCTGATTACAGATCCAAACGATTCGATATCTCTAATAAGCAAAAAAAAATAAAAAAATATCCACAGATGGCAGGAAGCGTAACTTTATGGCAGATCAGATCTCTGTTTGTAGCAGATTGATGGATTGATTATTAAAAAGAAGAGGAGAGTGCAGACGGAGAACAGTCGGGAAAATGCGAATGAAAAGAGAAGATGAAACAAGGCCATTGAGTTTGAGACAGCCAAGGCCAGTTATCATATGTTTTCCGCGTTTTCACTAAAATAATTCTATTTTTTTTATATTAATGCCTGCCTGCTAATAAAAAGTCTGGTAACGCTGCATATATTAAAGGCTGTAAAGTGTAACGTGGGCTCGCCACATTATTTTTTTTTTCAGGTTCAGATTGCCGAGTTACTATAAAATATGCTCGAGTCCAAATTTCAGGCGAGTCATTTGGCCAGAAATTCTATGGTGCCACATGTGGCACGTGTTATGGTGCCACAACTAGGGCTGCAAACGAGTCGAACAGCTCGCGAGCCGCTCGCGAGCGCTCGAGTCAAAGCTCGACTCGAGCTCGAGTTTGACCGATCTCGAGTCGAGCTCGAGCGGCTCGAGCACGAACTCGAGTCGAGCTCGAGCCCATATATTGTATTGTCGAGCGGCTCGCGAGCGGATCGAGATATGTGAAATTACTAAAATACCCTTATATATATGTAATTAATGGTAATTTTACAAAATTTCTTGAAAAAGTTCGAGCCGAACTCGAGCCGAGCTCGAGCATTATGAATTTGAGTCGAGCTCGAGTCGAGCTCGAGCTCTTGTATGTTTTGATCGAGCCGAGCTGGAGCACCAAAAATCGAGCTCGACGAGCTCGAGCTCGAGCTCGAGCACCTCAAAAAAAAAATTCAATCCGCTCGATAAGGCTAATGCTCGACTCGGCTCGGCTCTTTTGCAGCCCTAGCCACAACATGATGTGACACATTATGATTGGTGCCACAACATGATGTGTGATAGTTGTGGCACCAATTATAATGTGTCGCATCATGTTGTGGCACCATAGAATTTCTGGTCATTTGGCCAGTTGGGTTATTTTGGATGGTTTCAATAAAAGTGTTATGTATTTTTATGTTATGTTTGGCTAAATCATTTCTTATGTGGCGAGCCCACGTTATTTAGTTTATTTAGAGCATCTCCAAGGAATTGTGCATTCTTCCATTCCATTGCCACATGTTCCCAAAAATCCAATGTGGCATGTAAAAGTTCTAGAAGTCTTTCTAGATGTAGAAAGACTTCTAGACATCTTCTATTGATATTATATTATTTATTTTATATCTCTCTCTCTTTCTCAACCAACTAATTATTTTCTTACACATGTCAATTTATTCTACAATTGACTTTCACCATTTGAGACAAACTATTTTTATTGTTTTTCTCCGCAACATACATATTAAAATAGACATGACACCATCGGAGATGCTCTTATATTTGACCAAAAAGACAAGTAACGAGATGATCTGTCAACAATTTCTTATGTGAAAATAAAACATATTATTTTCACTCTACTATTATTCAATTTATTTATATTTGACCAAAAAGTTGACCGTGTTATTAAGCCAAAAAAAAAAAGAAAAATATTTTTAAAAACAATATATATGTTATGTAAAAGTGGAATTTACCACTACTTATCATTTACATTATTATATGTGAAATATGTATTGGAATGTGTGTCCTTTTACCTATAAAAGGGGCCAAAAGCATTGTGATGTTTGGACGAAAGAAGTGAAGGAAAAAAGCTTCTTATAATCTGTATCCGGTTTTTACATTGTGTTCTTTATCTTCCCTGCATTTTATAACACGTTATCAGCACGAGCGCTCTACCCGGTCAGAAAGGTATGTATATAATAATAATAATAATAATAATAATAATAATAATAATAATAATAATAATAATATATATATATATATATCACATAAAGTTAGTATATTTCACTAATATACATATTATCATTATTCTTGACAAGTTAGGCTCTGCCACAGCCAAGGATATGTTGTATGAATATACTAAATATGAATATATTATTATTATTCTTGACAAGATAGGCTCTGCCACAATCAAGGATATATGTATACTAAATATGATATTATCTACACATTACCATTATTATTGGCAACTTAGGCTATGCCATAGTCAATAATATGTGGTGATCTGATATTATTAAATTTGCTTATGAATTTTTATTCAAGTTATAATAAATAATATTATTACTTATACTTAACACCCACAAAATGGTTTACCCAGTAATGTGGCGTGAAATTTATAACTGTTTATTCTTGTACCCACCGAAAGATTTATCGAGTAGTGTGGAGTGACATTTTTATTTGCTTTGTTATTTATATTCATTAAATTGTTTACGTAATGACTCGGAGAATTTTTAAGGTAATATACATGATTAATTAGAATTTTATAATCAAAAGTGATTAACTAACAAATATTATATCATTAATTTGTTTCCAACGGCTACTTAACGGCTATATTGCAACAGCTATTTACCAATATCTATATATAACACTACAATTCATTTTCATAATCTAAACACTCAAAATATTTTTTTAAATAAGAATAAGAAAAAAAAAATATTTGATCCATTAGTTATAATTACCATTATATTGTTTATTATATATGCTTTAGTAATATTCGCGATGTTGTATCATTATGCTGAATTAATATTTTATGTATTATGTCTTTGTATAATGTGTTTATTATATGCTCTTTTGTACGTATTGAAGAATTAATGATTATGTAATTTTTCGACTCTAAGCATTGATGTTTTATTTTATAGTTATCATGGCAAATCTGGTCAAACTCGAATTTGAAGCTCTCGATATATCTGGAAAAAATTATATATCATGGACATTGGATGCCGAAATTCACTTGGCTGCAAGGGGGTTGGGAGAAACAATAATTTCCCCAAATAATTCATCAATACAAGATAAAGATAAAACAATGATATTTCTGAGGCATCATTTGAATGAGGCATTGAAAAATGAATATTGAACTGTAAAAGATCCTGCAGATCTCTGGAAAGCCTTGAAAGAAATGTATGATCAACAGAAAACGGTGATTCTTCCCCGGGCTCGTTATGAATGGATGCACTTACGCTTCCAAGATTTCAAAACTGTAAACGAGTACAATTCAGCAATGTTCCGCATTTGCTCGGTATTGAAATTATGTGAAGAAAACATAACTGATTAAGATATGCTGGAAAAAACGTTGTCCACGTTCCACGCTTCAAATGTACTTTTGCAGCAACAATACAGAGCAAAAGGCTTTGTGAAATATTCTGAATTAATCTCTTGCTTGTTGCTAGCAGAACAAAATAATGAACTGTTGATGAAGAACCATGAATCTAGACCCACGGGGTCTACTGCAGTTCCTGAAATAAATGTTGTAATATCTAGACAGAGAACCAGAAATGAAAACAGCAAAACATATATGCGTGGATATACCTCGGGACGTGGTCGTGGACGTGGACGTGGATGTGGACGTGGCCGTGGATATGGTCCAGATCGCCGATTTGACCAAGTCCACAAATTTCACCGAGGGTATAACTCGGGCTGGGGATATAATTGTGGACGAGGCCGTAACTATGCCCAAAATTATGAAAGGGGGAGGAATTTCCAGCCAAAATTTGAACAAAATAATGTGACGGAGAATAATGATGAAAAGGCATGGTATCGATGTGGAAGGACGGGACATTGAGCGCGAAATTGTCGTGCTCCGAGACAAGTTGTTGATAATTATAACAATTCCTATAAATCAAAAGATAAGAATATAGAAACCAATTTTATGGTTTGGGAATCCTCTGAAAATAATTCAACACGTGTGGATGATGAATATGGCATCGATGACATATTGAATCTGGATTTTGCCGATGCGGTAGTTGAAGATAGAGCTGGAAATGACCAAGAGGATAACTGATGATCATGTTGTTTTTATTGCTTTTTGAGTTTTGTTGTATTTGTGTGCTTTTATCTGTATTTCGACTTTAATCAATAATAAATGTTGTTTTCTTTTAGATCATGGATCGGTCTCGAATCCAAAATGGAGATATATGTATTGCCGATTGCGCCAATACTCGTACTATACTCAAGGAAAGGAAATATTTTGTAAACTTGAAATCAAATAAAGCAAAAGTAAACACAATATCCGGAAATGCAAAGATAATTGAGGGTTCTGGAAAAACCATATTTTTTATGATGGGAGGTACAAAATTTACATTGAATGATGCATTATTCTCCCCAAAATCAACAAGAAACTTGTTGAGTTTTAAAGATATCCGAATGAACGGATACCGCGTTGAAACAATGAATAAAGGGGGAGTTGAATATCTTTGCATTACCTCAAATATTGCGGGAAATACATGTGTTTTGGAGAAATTACCAGCTTTATCCTCGGGCTTATATTACACCCGCATTCATATTATTGAGACTTATACTGTAAAAAATTCATAATCGGTTGAAATGTTTAAACTTCGGCATGATCGACTTGGTCATCCTGGCTCGATAATGATGTGAAGAATTATTGAAAATTCTAGTGGGCATTCATTAAAAAATCAGAGGATACTGCAAACACATGAATTGACATGCGCCTCATGTTCTCAAGGGAAATTGATAATAATAAGACCATCACATACTAAAGTGAGGCATGAATCACCATTATTTTTGGAAAGGATTCATGGTGATATATGTGGACCTATTCATCCACCTTGTGGTCCATTCAGATATTTTATGGTGTTAATTGATGCCTCTACTAGATGGTCTCACGTGAGTTTGTTATCCACTAAAAATGTGGCATTTGCTAAATTACTTGCCCAACTTATTAAATTAAGGGCTTAATTCCCAAATTATATTATCAAAAGAGTCAGACTTGACAATGCTGGAGAGTTTACATCTCAAGCATTTAATGATTATTGTATGGCAGTGGGAATTGATG